TATTCTATTCTATTCTATTCTATTCTATTCTATTCTATTCTATTCTATTCCATTCCATTCCATTCCATTCTAACCTAATTCTATTCTATTCTATTCTATTCTATTCTATTCTAACCTAATTCTATTCTATTCTATTCTATATTCTATTCTATTCTATATTCTTATTTCTTAAGCTTTAAGGATTCTCATCGCCGTTAAACTTCTAAGACTTGCCTCCTCTAGAAGCTGGATCCTGCTAGTCAAGCTTGCTTCTACTTCCTGGACTTTTTTCTCTGCATCTTCCTTCAGACGTTGGATTTCGGCATCGCCACCCTGGGCCAAGCTCTCGACGGCTTTCCTGCAAAGGCCAAACATGGAACCGTCGAAGAGGAAGAGGAGGAGGAGGAGAACAGCAGCAGAAGACCGAAGGATGGAGCTGCTGTGCAGCTGCACCTCCCTTCTCGACCTCCCCCCACCTCCCCAGCCTGGCCTGCAGAGGGGAAGCCCAGCTGGGCACCTGAAACACAATTAAACAAGGAGGCCCGTCCGAGGGGTGGGGGGAATACTCACGATGCTTTCCGGAGCAACTGCTCTCGTTGCTGAAGTTCTCGTTTCACGCTCTCCAATTCGACTTTGAGCTCGATGTTCTAATGGAATGAGAGAGAAATGCAGAAAAACTTGGATTTTATTTTTTTCCCTGAGGAATTTTTGTTTCCTATTCCGTAACCAAACTGGGGGGGGGGGCAAATTTTGGGCCTTCGCGAGGGACAGACTCCAAGCAGGCCCGGGACATCCCACACTGGCAAGGAGGCGAGTATATCGTGTCGCTAAGACTTAAGACTTAGAATAACTTTATTGTCACTTTGAACATTTGGCTCTGCAACCCAACAGGACAGACACAGACTTCAGAGGATAATTAGGACTGCAGAACAAAACAATCACTACCAGTCTGCCTTCCACAGAGGACCTGTATATACTGCACGAGTCAAAAAGAGGGCTGTGAAAATATCTACAGACCCCTCACATCCTGGACATAAACTGTTTCAACTCCTACCCTCAAAACGACACTATAGGGCACTGCACACCAGAACAACTAGACACAAGGAGAGTTTTTTTCCCTGAACACCATCACTCTGCTAAACAATTAATTCCCACAAAACTGTCAAACTATTTACTAAGACTGCATTGCTACTATTCTTCTCATCCTTCCTATTACCTATCTCATTCTCTACCTATGACTATAACCTTATTGCTTGTATCTTTACGATTTATATTGTTTTATTTAGTTTCCTAGTATGATTTGATTGCTCCTTTAGTATCCTATGACTATCACTAAGTGTTGTATCTTATGATTCTTGATGAATGTATTTTTAAAGTACACTGAGAGCACATGCACCGAAGACAAATTCCTTGTGTGTCCAATTACCCTTGGCCAATAAAGAATTCTATTCTATTCTATTCTATTCTATTCTATTCTATTCTATTCTAT